CAAACTAGGCAGCCACCTAGGGCGCACTGCTGCCTAGGGCGCAGCCTCTATCACTCGCCCCCATCACGGTGCCCCCCGTCTATTTCAAATTGCAAAAGCCAATAGCAGGCTGGCTATTGCACCCTCCCACTAAGCAAATGAGCGGGAACTGAGATACAACTTTCTCTCTCAGGCCCGCTCCCCCGCTCAGTGGGTGGGGCTTCAATAGCCAGTCTGATATTGGATATTTCAAATTAAAATAACCAAATAGCAGTCTGGCTTTTGCTCCTGGCTGCTTACATCCACCTGTCGCCTGTGGCAGCTACCCGGCAGGAGAATGGGGCTGCGTCGGGGGGTGGGGGGATTGGGGGTTAGGCCACAGGAGGGGGGCTTGGGAGTGCAAGTAGCTGGTCTTGCCTAGGTCGCAAAATAGTCTAGCACCAACCCTGGATACAGGTACTTATACTAGCTGAGTACACAAAATCAAAGGGGGTAAAGTCCTTTACCCCCTTTCACTAGAAATCCCCCCAGCATGTAGCTCTGCATGGTGATATGAAATGATCTTACATTCAGTAGTTAAACAAACATATTTTTCTTTTACTTACAATTATTGTGTTTCCACTTCCTGGTCCTCTTGGGCATTAGTGATGTAAGCTGTACCCAAGCATTGCATCCTGGGAAGGTGACATCAGCAGAGCATTGCTGGGAGATCTCATCTGTAATCTCACGAGATCTCAGGGAAAGACATTTTCCTCCCCTGAGATGATGTGCATGGTCACATGTCCTAGTCACATGTGCCGGAGTTCCAGGAAATGGAGATATAGAGGAAGAGGAACTTTATCCATATCTTTAAAAAAGCAACAAAGACACCTTTAGAAATGTTTAGTGATAACAATCTACAAACAGATACACGTGGCAGCGTTCCAGGAAGTAAAGGTAAATGTATTAACCTGCCCTGAGTAAAAATGGCCGCTGTGAGAAGAACGGGGAGGAAAATAAAAATAAGGTATGCAAGGAATAAAAAGCCGACCATTATCTAGAAGTATCTGTGTGTAGATGTTTCATAGAACATTTAAAGTGACTCCGGAGTTTAATCTTAAAAATACATTCAAGTCCCTGAACTCTGAACAACAATGTATCTTATTTGTGTATCACTCGGCTGTAGATCCTCCAATCATCTCTGAATTGGTGCTGACAGTGTCCTTCCTTCTGGAGGGGGGGCTACGTCTGTTCCCCATGGTCCCTGTGTGTAGTCAGCGCTCCAAGCTCACTCCCGGGATGGACTACAATCTCAGGTTTAGTTTACTGATTTGTACTGAGATTGTGGTCCATGGGGGGGGCGGGGGGTGACTACTTTACAACACACACAGGGACCATGGGGAACAGACGTAGCCCCCCCTCCAGAAGGAAGGACAGTGTCAGAGATGATTGGAGGATCTACAGCCGAGTGATACACAAATAAGATACATTGTTGTTCATAGATAAGTGACTTTACTAGATTTTTAAGATTTAACTCCTGAGTCATAGCTTGTGTCCTCCCGTTACCCTAAGGAGAACTATGGGGAAAAGCCCTAACCCCATAGTTCTCCTTTAAGGCCTCATTCACACTGCCGTATGCGCGCATTGTACCATATGCAAATAAATGGCTCCATACACACAGCCGCCTATGGAGCTGTATATTTGCGTAGCGTATATATATGCGCAAAAACAGAATGGAACAGAGATGCGTCCAGGCAGCGTATTTACGCGCACATATGCATGTATACATGCGTACAGCACATTCAAAATTCCATTACAAGTGATGCATTCTGGGATCGCATATAGTGCACGCATATACGCTCGTATAGACGCAATATACAATTTTGCTCGCGTTGTGTGTGAATGAGGCCTAAATGTTCTATGAAACATGAAATCCTCCAAGGAAGTGGATACGTTTTATATACATTGAAGGGAGTTGATGAAATCTGGAGCAGCCGTGCACGGCAACCAATCAGCTTCTCTCTTTCATATTTAAATCGTATCTTGAGCAAACTGAAGAGAGAAGCTGATTGGTTGCCGTGCACGGCTGCTCCAGGTTTGATAAATTCCCCCCCATTGTTTGTAGTATTTGTCACATTGTTAGCATTGAAATGTTCACTAAAAGAGAATCGTATCCGGAACACGAAACTGTCGCTATAACACGTAATTGTCCTCCCGGTTCAGTTCTGGACTTGTCGTTGCCGACGCTGGCGGACTTACGCGTCGGTGTAACTTTGCAGATTCTGAACTTCCAATCTCTTCGCTCCGCAGATCAGCAATCAGAACTTCGAGATCACCACGCTGAGGGTGGACCTGAAGACAGACGGCCGGCACGCCGAGGTCCAGTTCACCACAGACTGGGAGCTGGACGCGGAGAGGCGGGACCTTACCATCAACTCCATGTTTCTGGGTGAGGAAGGGGCGGGCTGATTGGTCTAAACGGACTCCGTTCCACCAATGTGATCTTTAGGATATTTTGGAAGCTCTTTGTTACTTTTTGAAAAAGGTTTAGAGCGATCTTGCCACCAACTTAAAAAAAATTGCAGGTAAAGCAGAGAAATCGAGTGTTCTAAACGCTGACTTGCAGCACGATTCCTTCCCATAAACACTTTTTATTTCATTGCAATGGGGGGGAATTCATCAAAACCGGAGCAAACATAATCTGGAGGAGTTGCCCATGGCAACCAATCAGCATCTTTCTTCAGTTTTCTAAGGTAAGATTTGAAAATGAGAGAAGCTGATTGGCTGCAGTGCAAATCTGCTCCAGATTTCATAAATTCGCCCCAATGTGTCTTGGAGCTTGTT